AGGAATGAGCCACAGGAGCCCATCCCTTCCCTTTACACCTCGGTAGCTCCCTGGAGAAAGGAAAAGCTCTGCTTGAGGCTCCATCCTTTGCTGCAAGGACACCATGCTGGAGTTTGTTGCAACCATGTGCACAAATGTTCTGCAGTGGTGGACTGAGTCAATCCAGTTGAAAAAAATGCAGAAATGAAGCAGTGTAAGCCCTTGTCCTGGCTTGGAGAGGCACAGAGCAGCCAGGGCTTGCACATGGGCTGCTTTAATTAACCTCTCAGAGGGGTGGCAGTCAGGGCTGTTTACAAATTACAATGAGACAGGCTGTTCTCCCCACATGCCCAGGCTGGCCCAAACAGGTGCTGAGTGCTCAGCCCCTGGGGTGGGAGAGGGGAGTTCCAGCTGCCTGTGCTGCCGGCACTGACAGGGAGCAGCTCGCTGGGTGCTCGCGCCCGGGCAGCCTCGGATGCAGGGGAGGCATAGCAGGGTGGTTAGGGTGTCAGAGGCTGGATTTGGAGTTGCTGCTACAGGGTTTGCAGCTGCTGAAGTCTTCTTCAGGGTCGTCTGGCTAAACTCAAGGAGGGTCTGGTTGGTGGTTTGATAACCACCTATCTGATGATAGCCTGTCCCAATCAGGAACTGGGCACGGGGCACAAAGCCCGTGAAGCCTGTGTGGCTGGAAGGCATCCAGCAATGCATGTGGTGCAGTGGCTGCTGCTGCGGCTGGGTGGCCCTGCTGATGACCTGGTCCTGGAGGGTCAGCTGCAGAATCCTGATGGGGACATGTGGTCGTGAGTACTGCTGGGGGCAGGCTGAGCAGGGAGAGGAGCTGCCGGGTGCTGCTGTGGCAGGGCCGCCCGGCCCCCACCGCCCCCCCCCGACACAGGGAGCTCAGCATCCCTTGGCGCCCATTTGGCCAGGACGTGGCAGCAGAAATGTGGATGCTGTGGGGTGTGGGTGGCAATGGAGAGAGGGGCAGATGCTGGCCCACAGCCTTGTAAGCACCTGCAGAGTAGATGGGAGCAGGTAAGACGGTCATGCTATGTGCAGGACACCTCCTGGCTGCTTCCCTGAACCCAAATGCAGCAACCCTTCACTAGCAAATGGTGCAGGTCCCTGGCCTTGTTACTGCACCAGCCAGTCCCTTCCCAGCCTCCTGGTGGCAGGCTGCCTGCTAGGGCCAGTCCCACGTGCCCCTGCGCTCCGCAGGCACAGGGCAGAGCAGTGCCACCAGTGCCACTCCCAGCACCAGTGACCACCTTGCATGTGCTGGGGCACAGAGCAAGGCCAGGGGCAGCTCTGGACCAGCAGCAACATGCACGTTCAGTCCTGCCCATCTCATGTCACCTGTGTGG